GGTGACATTTCTTATCAGATCATCATTGTTAGTGAAGATGAGGTCTAGTGTATTCTCCAGTCTAGTAGGCTCTATTATTTGCTGGTTTAAATTGAATTTTGTGCAGAGATTTAAAAGCTCTTGTGAGTGTGAGTTTTCATCAGCGCTGCCTCCTGGTGTTATTACTGCAACAATATTATTTGCTATATTCCTCCATTTTAAGTGCCTTAAGTTGAAACCCCCCAGGAGCAAGATGTTGGGTTTGCAGGAGCTGGAAGATTTTCCCAGACAGTGGTCAATTTTTTAACAGCTGTTCCGGGGAATTGCTGGGATGTTCATCCGGAGGTTTGTAGACTACCACAATGACTAAGTTTTTGGTTCTCGACCTTTACTGCTAAAACTTCCACTACATCATTTGAGGCATTTAGCAGTTCTGTGCAAACAAGTGACTCTGCAATGTACAGGCCAACCCCCCCCCCCTTTGCCTTTTCACTCTGTCACATCTGTATAGGTTTTTAACCGGGGATCCTATTTCGTTGTCCAAGTGATCCTTTATGGGGGTTTCTCATTTGAAAGCCGCAAAACTTTGGGCCTTTGCCTCTGCAAGCATTCCACGGATGAAAGGTATTTTGTTGTTTGTTGCTGGCTTTAGACCCTGTATATTTGCAAAGAAGAATGTTATCGGACTGGTGGTATTGTTGGTACTGGGGGGGGGGATTTTTTTCCGGCATTAGTATCTGTATCTGTTGGTTTGGAGGGGGAGGCCATCGACTGTGGTTCCACTCTAGGAAGGACTGGTTTTTGGTGTACGATTTCGCCATTTCCTGCCAGTTTTTTGCCTTCCTGGCACTAAAAAACCTCTCCTCTTGAGTGGCTGTGGCTACCCCAGGTTTTCCCATGGCCTGGATGTTTTGTATCTTTTTGTCCCCTTTTAGAAGGTTTATGCCTGGCAATTTAAAGTTATAGCACAGTCTTTCCTTGTACTGAAGGGGTACACAGTTCAGGGTGAAAAAGCTTACAGGAAGGGAGTTTTGCATTTTCCTGTTGTCATATGGGCATGGCTTTTTTCTAGGGTGGTCATAGTTGCACGTCCCATCTGTTTTTCAAGATTTCCCATGCCAGCAGATACCGAGTGCATAGTATGTGCACAGGCTTGGTTTCCGTTTGCCTTGGGTTCTGTGACTGTATTCCCTGTTGGTGCATGTTTCCCTGTCTTACTTCTATCCTCCCTAGCACCAACAGTGGAGTTTCCCACCAGTTGTTTTTGGAAAATATATCCTAAACTAAGCTAGTGGAGTCCTCTTGTTTGCTATTTCCTGCGGTATTTCTAGTTTGCAATATTGGTTTTATCTTATCTTTGACTACACTTGTTTTCCCTACTATGGCTCCTGTCCCCTATGAGGTCATTTATATGTATTCTTCCTGCGTATAATTCCCGACTACCGGGACAAAATCTCCAGCTTCACCATTACTGTCTCCCAGGACAGAAATTCCAGCTTCACCATTACTGTCTCCCAGGACAGCACCTCCAGCTTCACCATTACTGTCTCCCAGGACAGCACCTCCAGCTTCACCATTACTGTCTCCCAGGACAGCACTATCAGCCCCACATTTACTGACAAACCAGGCCATCATCTCCAGCCTTAAGTTTCTGACTACATGGCCGTATCAAGGGCAGTTACCGTCAGCCCAGACTTTTTATGTTCCCATCTGTTGTAGAAAGCTTCCAGGTTTTCTATGAAAGCAGCTTTGATGTTGGCCTCTTTTAATACCCTTGTGATTTTAGTCCACAGATTTTCCTATTTGGGCATACCCAAAAACACTTCCATTTTTTTAATACTGCTTGTAGCTATTTTCTTGGATATCTGCACAAGGGGCGTTGACACCAATTTCCCAAAAATGACAATTTATGCATGTGGAACCCCGTTTTTTTTGACTAACCACAGACTACACACAGCTTCATAATGATTTGAATGGTTGATTTACTGTAATTCTACTAGCAACCTCTTGAATATTCTATTACTAACCTCCTCAAATGAAGCTCTAGCTATTTGTATTTCTGTTTCTAACTGTTTTTGTATATTGGACAGCTTACCGTGCACGTTCCTGATATATATTTAATTTTTTGTGTTTATAAGGGCGCCTACAACCCCATCCGTTTACAGTCTGCTTTATTGTCCAACGAAACCGTTTGAAACCAGTCCAGGGTTCGGACCAGTCAAGGGTTCGGACCAGTCAAGGGTTCGGACCAGTCGATCTGATCTGATCAGTGGGTCACTTATTTAAACCATACTGGTCGGTGATTTGAGTAACACAATAAAGGGGATTACGGGGAAATTATCTACCCGAGTAATATGTGATTTGATTGATGCAAAAGTATAACTTGCGTGGTTGAAGAGCCGGTGACTGCTGGCAACTCCTACAATGACGAACGGTCAAACCTCAACCCTTGTTTATCAATCGCTGTATCTATTTTTTTTCTTTTTTTTTTTCCGTCTCCACCACAATAAATGCTATATTATCACTATAGCTGACTGGTGCAAATTTTGGAGGAAGGATGCTTTTTTCTGGGAGTAATAATTGTTTCCCCGTTGTGTATATTGCGACCGCTGGTAACTACAGGTTATATGAAATTCACAGTATTTTGTCTGGTATTTCAAGAAAAAGAAACTAATGAAAGTCACTCCACTCCACTAAGTACCATTATAATACTGGTTAGTTGCTACTACAACACTGTATTCTGCTCTTCACTGGTATCACTAGATTATATGCGAGTACACTAGCAAGCCAGGAAGATTATTAAAAACAGCTGGCCTGTGGTAAGTTTCTGGCGACTTCTGGCACCTGCCTCTATAGGCTTATCACTTCATTTACAAATTCACCTGTTTTCAAATGACACTTTAGCCTTTATTATCTATATACTATTATCTATACTAGGGAGCCACTGTAGTATACACTATACACTGTGTATATTCAATGTTATCAGGGAGACTTTCTTTCCTCTGACACGAAAAGTTCAATTATTATTATTTTTTCACACGGGACACAGGCCTATGATTCCCCTCTGGCAGTAAACTCTGCTAGGTAGTGCACACTAATTCTCCTTTTTTGACTGAGTATATAATGTTTTCCGCCCAAGATTGGTTCCAGGCGCTAGAGGGATGTATCGTATAGGATTGATGGCACAAATTAAAGTTCTAGCACGTAAGAGCGACCGTGAAAACACCAGAAAACCCGGAGCACAACGAGGCACGCTGTAGGTTCTCTACAGGTTCTGCTAACTTTGTACTACTGTTTGATATATCCATACCTCATCTTTGGTATATGTGCCACCGGGTGATTACCAACAGTTAAATCACTTTAAACTCCTTGTTACTCACCAAAAATCATCTCAGAATAATTACTCAAGCTCCAGGTAACACATATCACCCTTATTCAAAAGTTTAAATTTGTGTTAGTTCAAAATATTGAGAATATCTACTGTGGACACTAAGTCACAGAGCTCTCAGTACTAACATTAACCCAGAGGTTCAGTTGTATCAGGAGAGCTGCAACACATCACACACACACAACACAAACAATGACCCAGAGCTTCAGGTGTATTAAGAGCTGCAATACATGACACACACACAACACAAACAATGGCCCAGAGCTTCCGTTGTATTAAGAGCTGCAACACATGACACACACAACACAAACAATGACCCAGAGGTTCAGTTGTATCAGGAGAGCTGCAACACATCACACACACACCCAAAACAAACAATGGCCAGAGGTTCAGGTGTATCAGGAGAGCTGCAACACATCACACACACACAACACAAACAATGACCCAGAGGTTCAGTTGTATCAGGAGAGCTGCAACACATCACACACACACAACACAAACAATGGCCCAGAGGTTCAGGTGTATCAGGAGAGCTGCAACACATCACACACACACAACACAAACAATGACCCAGAGGTTCAGTTGTATCAGGAGAGCTGCAACACATCACACACACACAACACAAACAATGGCCCAGAGGTTCAGGTGTATCAGGAGAGCTGCAACACATCACACACACACAACACAAACAATGGCCCAGAGGTTCAGGTGTATCAGGAGAGCTGCAACACATGACACACACACAACACAAACAATGACCCAGAGGTTCAGGTGTATCAGGAGAGCTGCAACACATGACACACACACAACACAAACAATGACCCAGAGCTTCAGGTGTATCAGGAGAGCTGCAACACATCACACACACACAACACAAACAATGACCCAGAGCTTCAGGTGTATCAGGAGAGCTGCAACACATGACACACACACAACACAAACAATGACCCAGAGCTTCAGGTGTATCAGGAGAGCTGCAACACATCACACACACACAACACAAACAATGACCCAGAGCTTCAGGTGTATCAGGAGAGCTGCAACACATCACACACACACAAAAACAAACAATGACCCAGAGCTTCAGGTGTATCAGGAGAGCTGCAACACATCACACACACACAACACAAACAATGACCCAGAGCTTCAGGTGTATCAGGAAGCTGCAACACATCACACACACACAATTTCAAACAATGACCCAGAGCTTCAGGTGTATCAGGGGGGAGCTGCAACACATCACACACACACAACACACAAACAATGACCCAGAGCTTCAGGTGTATCAGGAGAGCTGCAAAACATCACACACACACAACACAAACAAGACCCAGAGCTCAGGTGTATCAGGGGAGCTGCAACACATCACACACACACAACACAAAAAAATGACCCAGAGCTTCAGGTGTATCAGGAGAGCTGCAACACATCACACACACACAATACAAACAATGACCCAGAGCTTCAGGTGTATCAGGAGAGCTGCAACACATCACACACACACAACACAAACAATGACCCAGAGCTTCAGGTGTATCAGGAGAGCTGCAAACACATTTACACACACACAATACAAACAATGACCCAGAGGTTCTGGTGTATCAGGAGAGCTGCAACACATCACACTATACAAGTATCCAGTATATGTCATATTTCATATTTACATCTCAACCTGTTCAAAGACTCCATATAAATATTAAAAAAAAAGCGGAGCTAACTGCCTGAAAATGCCAGAAGTTCCCCATCTGCTAACATCTTTATTTATAATGTTATAAAGAACTCATTTGATCTCTCATAAATGTTATATCCATTAACTGTGTACATTCTCCAGCTTTAATATCATCACCTCACTTCAACCTCTCCATAGCGCAGGTCACTCAACTGATATAATTTATTTTTAAATGACCAACTCATCTCTTACAGCTTGTCTCATTTTACTTGTGATTGTAAAATATTGATCAATCTGTATTGATGCTCAATAATATTTATTATATACTAGGTCTAGGTTTAAGTAGTATGAAAGCCTTATGATTAGTCTGCCTGAAATGCATTGCATAATTAGCAACTTTCTTCTGAGCCTAAAACGTTATCAAATTATATCTGTATTTAAAAAGATAAAAATTTAAAACACCACTAATTGGAAAGTACATCTATTTTAAACATTTAAGAAAGAAAGGCTTAAATATTGCTGATGAAGTGTTTTAAAATCTATAGCATATATAATGCACAATTATTACTTTCATTACAATGACAGTGGCCTTTAGCAGTGTACCTTCACTGAGGTGTAGACAGTGCTGACGTCTGGGAAGTCTTCCTGACACTTCTGGGTCCAATCTTCAGCCTCCATCTTGTACTGATTATCTTCACTAATGGTTATGGCGATTTCTTTTGCAGTGTTGACTGTGTCGAGGCACTCCAGCCTAGTATGCAACTGCTTCTTTGTTGTTTCTCCTTCTGTTGCCATATTCACCACACGGGTATCCTCCTGTTCCAGGAGCTCTATTACTGCCTTGTTCTTCTCCACCAGTTCATGAAGTCTGTCGTGCAGTTGGTGATGCTGGGTCTTCCAGTCCCTCACCTGCCCCTGGTACTGGACCAGCTGGGATAGTGCTTCTTCACACTTAGTTATAAGGTTACTGATACTGCTCTTGTGTTCCTGTACCGAAGACCATAACTTCTTGCTGATGCCTTTTGTGCGATCTTGACAAGGCTTTGCTGACAGAGCTTCAGCTGAGGTGAGCTGTGCACCTTTAAAATCCTTTATCAAAGCCTCAATTTCGCAGTTGATTGGAAACTGTGTCACAGCTGTAGCTCTGTGCTCTGCCTTGCAAGTGGGGCAAGTTATAACTTTTTTAATTGATTCTTCAATACATTGTGAACAGAATGTGTGGCCACACGTCAGTGACCTCGGCCGTCGTTGAACTTTGTCATAATTTTCATCACAGGCTTCGCACTTAGGCCTGTTATCCTGTGAGGGGAAGCACTCATATCAGATCATACATTATATAATTTATAAGATGACTGAAGTATTTCCAGCATCATATAAAAAGAGACCTTAACAGTGAAAATAACTATTTGATATTAATTTAACAAATTATAAAACATAATGCCTAAAACCAATGTGAACCTCATAAAGCTGTGGCCCCATTTGTACACAAACTTCCTTATTATAAATGTAGAACTTTTCGGGGAAATTAGCTTAATTTTGTGCCTAGGATGTGACCTACGCCAGTCGGCTAATACCCAGGTACCTACTTACTGCTAGGTGAACAGGGCCAGCAGGTGTCTTAAAGTGTACGAATTTATTTGTTACCATTTTCCTACCATCTATTTCATATGTAAATATTTTAGGGCTGTGGTCACAGGGATGGTGAGAGTCAGATGCTACCTTATAGTCCACTAACACACTCTAGGTACATGAACTGAGAGATTAACGTACTAATTGGTAGACTTTGGCCTTAAGGAAAAACTGAGGTAGGTTTTAATCGTTAGTAAATAATATTAGAATTAATAATAAAGCCTTAAACATTATTATGTTAGGTAAACATATGAGACATATAGTGTTAGCTAGTAAATTCTTCCTTAACAGGGTAGAGATGGCTGGTTAGCAAACACATCAGCATTCTACTGGATCAGCAGTGGTGGGGATAACAACTTACAGGAGCTCCCAGCTCCCACGCTCTCTTATTAAATTCTCCCTTTGGTAGCCAGTGAAGAAACAGAGGTCTTCCCAACGGTCCTTAAGTAGAGTTTCTGTGCCAGATCCATTTGGCATTATTTCAGTATTTATCATAACTAGCTGGGAAACAACGGGAATAGTTTAGCTTGTGGCTAGGTGCGGCCCAAGAGCCCAAACCAAGGTAAATAACAGCCAGGACTGCTGAATAATCATCCCTTGAATATTAGGCCAGAAGCTAGTAATCTTTTTGTTTACATGAATACTAATTAGAGAAACCCAAATAAATACAGGGAAACCTACAATGTTTGCCGGGATTGTTAATATCTTTTTAATGATAACAGTAACCAATCTTCTAGGCATATGTCATCCAAGAGAGAGAAGTCATATAGAAGTCACTAGCCTGGTAGAATCAGGGCATTTCTAGCCTGGGTAGACTCCACAACAAGTAAGTCCCATTACAAAGTGTATCCAAAGGGCACTTGTGAGGACAGGACAGAGAGGTCTTATATTATCTGTGTCAACAGTGATTGCCAAAGTTGGCATCTCACAAGTTCCCACATTTTATTTGGTCCTTCAAATGTGGATGTGGAGTCAGCTGGTTTAGCAGACTAATCAAGTCTTAACATAGCTAAACTCCACGATGACTTACCAGATAAATCAGGTAAGGTAGGCTAAGTTAGCTAGTATAGATGTACCCAGTGGTTTACGTAAGTTAAGCTAAGTTAGCTAATGTACTTGTTCTCAGTGATTTACACAAGTTAGGCTAAGTTAGATAATTTATCTGCACACAAAAGTTTAAGTATTTACAGTGATTCAGCAACAGGCCAGAAATAGGCTAAGATACTCTCATGTTATGTAATTATTTTCAGCGATTTTGCATGGGTTTAGAGCAGGTCGCTGCTGTCTGTCTCAACTACTGGACCACTATGACAAGGTCTTGGAATCGATAGAAGTCAAATAAAATGCAGATGTAATATATACAGACTCTGCAAAAGCCTTCGACAAGTGTGACCATGGTGTAATAACACACAAAATGCATGATAAAGGAATAGCAGGAAAAGTTGGTAGATGGATCTGTAACTTCCTGGCAAACAGAACACAAAGAGCAATAGTAAACAGAGTAAAGTCGAGGCAGCTACGGTGAAAAGCTCTGTTCCACAAGGCACAGTACTCGCTCCCATCTTGTTGCTCATCCTCATATCCGACATAGACAAGGATGTCAGCCACAGCACCGTGTCTTCCTTTGCAGATGACACCCGAATTTTGCATGACAGTGTCCTCCATTGCAGACACTGCAAAGCTCCAGGCGGACATCAACCAAATCTTTAAGTGGGCTGCAGAAAACAATATGAAGTTCAATGATGAGAAATTTCGATTACTCCAATATGGAAAATGTGAGGAAATTACAACTACATCAGAGTATAAAACAAATTCCAGCCTCACAATAGAGCGAAAAACTAATGTAAAAAACTGGGAGTGATCATGTCAGAGGATCTCACCTTCAAGGACCATAACATTGTATCAATCGCATCTGCTAGAAAAATGACAGGATGGATAATGAGAACCTTCAAAACTAGGGATGCCAAGCCCATGATGACACTCTTCAGATAGCTTGTTCTTTCTTATCCACAATGTTGCTACACACTAACAGCACCTTTCAAGGCAGGTGAAATTGCTGACCTAGAAAATGAACAGAGAGCCTTCACAGTACACATAACTGAGATAAAACACCTCAATTACTGGGAACGCTGCACAGTTTTGGTCACTGTATTACAGAATGGATATAAATGTTCTGGAAAGCGTACAAAGGAGGAGGACAAAGTTTATCCCATGTATCAGAAATCTTCCCTATGAGGATAGACTGAGGACCCTGAATCTGCACTCTCTTGAAAGGTGTAGAATTAGGGAGGATATGATCGAGGTGTATAAATGGAAAACAGGAATTAATAAAGGGGATGTAAATAGCGTGCTAAATATATCTAGCATAGACAGGACTCATAGAAATGGTTTTTAAATCGGAAAAATTCAGATTCAGGAAGGATATAGGAAAGCACTGGTTTGGTAACAGAGTTGTGGATGAGCGGAACAAACTCCCAAGTACCGTCATAGAATCTAAGACGTTGTGTAGTTTTAAAAATAGGTTAGATAAATACATGAGTGGGTGAGGGTGGGTGTGAGTTTAACCTGACTAGCTTGTGCTACTAGGTAGGATGCTGTGCTCCTCCCTTAAGTGAATGTGACTGACCTGACTAGGTCAAGGCATTTGCATAAGCTGGTTGGAGAATTGGACCTGCCTCGCATGGGCTAGTAGGCCTGCTGCAGTGTTCCTTCTTTCTTATGTTCTTAAGAAGATTAATAAATTAGTTAGGAAGGATCGGCCCCTCGTGAAACCATGCTGAATATCATTAATCAAATTGTGCTTATCCAAATGGCTTCTTATAATACCAGTTATAATTGACTCTACAATTAAGGTCAGGCTTATTGGGCGGTAATTTGATGGTAATAACTTGTCCTCTGCTTTAAAAATAGGAATTACATTAGCCATCTTCCACATATCAGACACTGCATCTGTTTTAAGAGATAAATTAAAATATTAGTCAATGGTTCACAGAGTTCCATTTTGCATTCCTTAAGAACATTGAAAAAAAGCTCATCATGACTGGGCAATTTAGTTTGTTTCAGTCGGTCTATTTGTTTCATAACCATTTCACTAGTGACTGTGATGTTACATACTTTATCTTCTTCAGGCCCACTATAAAAAATAATTACTGGGATATTGTTAGTGTCCTCCTGTGTGAAAAAAAAGAGAAAATAATTATTAAAAATCGAGCACATTTCATTCTCCTTGCCAGTAAGTGCCCAGAGTCATTTTTAAGGAGACCTATCTTATCTTTAACTTTTGTTCTATAAAGCTGGAAAAAAACTTTTGGTTAGTTTTCGAATCGCTAGCAACTTTAATTTCATAGTCCCGTTTAGCTTTTCTTATTCCTTCTTTAATGTTCCTCTTAATGTCAATATATTGATTCCTAAGATCACCCTCACCTCTTTTGAGGTTAGGGTCGTCTTAGCCTTCACCTGAGATTCTGACTGCTGCCCTCTCATGTTTACCTGGAGAGAGTTCCGGGGGTCAACGCCCCCGCGGCCCGGTATGTGACCAGGCTGGCTCCCCAACTATTTCAAGACCTACAATGAACACATGTCTGCTGCTAGCACAGTCTGCTCCTATTTTCCATTTTGCCCCAAGAGTGCTTAACTGCTGGGTTTAGCCCTGGTACTTTCTCTACGACTGAAGACACTCTTCTCAAACACTATTCTCGCCTGCTCCGTCTTCCCTGCTCACCCAGCAGGGGTTTTATCTAGATTCCTTCGTTCGGAAAAGAGCTGGAAGTTAGACAGTCATTCGTGCATTAGTGATGGTGAGTAGACTTTGCATAACAATTTGGTAAGGAAATCTACTGGACTTTTTTTTTATTAAGTTGGTTGTGAAAGTTTGTGACTAAATTTAAAGAATTCTCCCTGTATTTTGTTGACCAGGGGATCCTCCAACACATCTCAGTTACAGCAGAGCTTTAACAGAGTAACACAGTATCCAGTTGTAGGTGAGTGTATACTTCTTTATTGCTCTCACTGGTGATGTTTGACAGTTGTAGGTGAGTATATACTTCTTTATTGCTCTCACTGGTGATGTTTGACAGTTGTAGGTGAGTATATACTTCTTTATTGCTCTCACTGGTGATGTTTGACAGTTGTAGGTGAGTGTATACTTCTTTATTGCTCTCACTGGTGATGTTTGACAGTTGTAGGTGAGTGTATACTTCTTCAATGCTCTCACTGGTGATGTTTGACAGTTGTAGGTGAGTATATACTTCTTTATTGCTCTCACTGGTGATGTTTGACAGTTGTAGGTGAGTGATATACTTCTTTATTGCTCTCACTGGTGATGTTTGACAGTTGTAGGAGTATATACTTCTTTATTGCTCTCACTGGTGATGTTTGACAGTTGTAGGTGAGTGTATACTTCTTTATTGCTCTCACTGGTGATGTTTGACAGTTGTAGGTGAGTATGATATACTCCTTTATTGCTCACATGGTGATGTTTGACAGTTGTAGGTGGGTGTATACTTCTTTATTGCTCTCACTGGTGATGTTTGACAGTTGTAGGTGAGTGTATACTTCTTTATTGCTCTCACTGGTGATGTTTGACAGTTGAGGTGTGAGGATAATTCCATCTTATATTAATATAATTGTAGGTGTGTGGACGTGGAGTCCTTCCTTTTGGTTCATGATTA